TAGCCCTAGGACAGTGGTTCCGAAAATGGCGCATAGACATCAACCCAGCGAAAAGTACTGCGGTGCTATTTCAGAGGGGAAGCTCCACACGGATTTCCTCCCGGATTAGGAGGAGGAATCTCACACCCCCGATTACTCTCTTTAGACAACCCATACCCTGGGCCAGGAAGGTCAAGTACCTGGGCGTTACCCTGGATGCATCGATGACATTCCGCCCGCATATAAAATCAGTCCGTGACCGTGCCGCGTTTATTCTCGGTAGACTCTACCCCATGATCTGTAAGCGGAGTAAAATGTCCCTTCGGAACAAGGTGACACTTTACAAAACTTGCATAAGGCCCGTCATGACTTACGCGAGTGTGGTGTTCGCTCACGCGGCCCGCACACACATAGACACCCTCCAATCTCTACAATCCCGCTTTTGCAGGTTAGCCGTCGGAGCTCCGTGGTTCGTGAGGAACGTTGACCTACACGACGACCTGGGCCTCGAATCTATCCAGAAATACATGAAGTCAGCGTCGGAACGGTACTTCGATAAGGCTATGCGTCATGATAATCGCCTTATCGTTGCCGCCGCTGACTACTCCCCGAATCCTGATCACGCAGGAGCCAGTCACCGTCGACGCCCTAGACACGTCCTTACGGATCCATCAGATCCAATAACCTTTGCATTAGACGCCTTCAGCTCTAACACTAGGAGCAGGCTTAGGGACCTCGGTAACCGTACTCGTCGAACTCGACAAAGAGTTCGCCGTGCAACCTAACCCATGAATCAGCTCGCTGAGTTTCTCGCCGGATCTTCTCAGCGGGTCGCGATTCCGATCCGGTAGTAGATTCATTCGCGAAGCAGCTACTCTTGAGCTGTTAGGTCTCCTTCGGAGGCGCTCGGGTAGCTGTTACCAAATCCCACCCCTCCTGGCTGAGCCTTTGCTCGCCCACGTGTCCTGGTGAAACTGGAAAGGCCTCCGGGCCACCAGTAATCTTTCAAACATAAAAAAAAAAAAAATATGTGTGTAATGTTTTTTATTTACTGATTTAATGTATTTTTTATGCATAATTTAAAAAAATATTAATAATCAGTACTCCTTCTCTTTATTTTCTACAAGTGTAGGAAATTTCGTATGAAGTACTGCGTTTGCGAAATTTTCGTAAAAATACAAAATACAAAGTATTTGCTTCACGTATTAATTAATATACATAGTGGAAATATATTGTTTTTGTTAATATAACAGTCTATGCATTAATAAGGTTACATTGTTTCAATTTGGAAAATGTAATGCCTATTCTTTGCAATTTGGAACGCCTTGTGGTGACCGGTAAAATAGAGGGAAAAAGGCCTAGGGGTAGAGGTCCCAAACGATGGTCGGACCAAATAGCGGAGGAACTGGGGATACCTATCAGCGACGCACTCCACCGGGCTACAGGGCGGGATCGATGGAGACAGTTGGTTGACGAAATCGGATGGAGTCACGATCCTCAGCAGTGAGGAACCGATCGAAGAGAGAGAGAGAAATGCCTATTCTTACTATAGTATTTTATGAATTTTTGACATTGTTATAATATTAAAAAATACGGTGGAGTGATGAAGAGAACTAAATTGATGCATTACACAAAGTAAGTACGGATCGAAATGCAATATTTAAAAATTTTCATCCGCCTGGTCTTAGTCGAATGTCTCTGTACCGCGCTATAGGTTTAAAGACAGTGAAAAGTCTTTTTTTGTTTTTTTTTTCTACCTATTCTAGTTGTCTCGAGGGGTTATACAAGATTCAACGTCCTCTATTCCTGACATATAAATATCTGGTGGGTCACGTAGTACTCCTACTAAAAAGCCTACTAAAGCAGTGAAAGAAATAATCTTATACGAAAGCAAATTGTATGGTTATCTTGGGAATTGAGTGTGTCGCGTATCTTAAAAGATGACATTAGGATTGTAGCATATTAATGTAATTTTTCTAATGAAATACGTACTTAGCAAATATTCGCGATTGACTTCCATGATGAAGGAATAACATCGTGTAATAAAAATCAAACCCGCAAAATTATGATTTGCTTAATTACTGGCGGTAAGACCTCTTGTGAGTCCGTACGGGTCGGTACCAACACCCTGCCTGTTTCTGACGTGAAGCAGCTATGTGATTCGGTTTGAAGGGTAGGGCAGCCGTTGTAACTATACTGAGACCTTAGAACTCATATCTCAAAGTGGGTGCCGGCATTTACGTTGTAGATGTCTATGGGCTCCAGTAACCACTTAACACCAGGTGGGCCGTGAGCTCATCCACGCGTCTAAGCAATAAAAATGTACATATACGACTTGAGCTACAAATAAAATTCAATAGGGTGGTAAATTTAAAGCAATTTTTTAATAATCCATGCAAAAGGGCTGACTGACAACTTTGATTTACTAATAAGATTTTTTTACTATGAAGCTACATTTTGATACACAAAATATGCTTAAAGCCAAACAAGAACTTTTCGATTAGTCTGTACGGTATGACGTAGGTGTTATCCGGCTTTAGTGGTTGTTTGGTGGGGTATTAACTATATTTTAATGATAAATGTATCGTATAAATGTATAAATATCAGGCTGGCTTCAAAATATGAAGAAGAAGATACCTATGAAGATGATTAAGGTTTTAACAGCCTTGTGTTTGGTAATCAAGAATGTTCCTTTTAGCAAAACTCGGGTCGGTTCGTAGGGCTTAGTCCACACAAGTATGGTCGGAATGGAACTTCTCAGATTTCATGAGAGCGGTAGATTGGTTTTGGACTCGCAATTGAGTTTATTTTATTTTTATTTTATTTTATTAGGAAGACAAACAGTGAACTTAAACTATATAAACTCTAAAATTACAACTAAACACCATTTAAATGTCTCCGCATTTAAATAACTACAAACGATTGGGGCATCGCCTAGAATTAAATAATTAAAGTAAAACGTAAAACAAAAACAAAAATAAAACAGTTTGAGAAAAAAAAACAGAAAAACATAGTAAATAGAAAATAATTAATTAAATATTTGCATTCAACCATCGACTGACTAATGTTCTCCTAATATTCTTGTTTATTCTTGTGTATTCTTGTTTATTTTTTAATTTTTTTTACTGCCTAGATGGGTGGACGATCTCACAGCTTACCTGGTTGTTAAGTGGTTATTGGAGCCCATAGAAATGTCCAAATATTCGGACACTTAGTCACTCCATCTTTTTCGGCTCCGACCTCTGGATCGTTTTGCATCCACTTTACCTGTCACTATGAGTCTCTCTAGGCTGTCAGAGGGTTTTCTTGCTATATGACCAAAGTGGAGCACTCTATATAGACATTTGGTGGATAGCCTCTGGTCAACTTTCAGCTCATTGAGGATGGAAGCGTTCGTCCGGAAAGCCGTCCAAGGGATGCGCAACATGTTTTAATTAAGCAACAAAAAAAAGAGGTTTTCTTCTAACAATATTTATGGCAAGACTAATTAATTTAAAGGTATAGTCATTCACAAAATCTACGGTCGGTAATAGTATAGCTGTGGTTTTCATTGTGTTTTCTGTAGCAGGGTCTTGTGCTAATATATTTAACACAAGAAGAAAATCTATCATTGAAAAAAGGTACTGGTTGACTTTTAGTTTCAATACATCACGAAATAAGTAGATCCTATATGAGTTTCAACAGTTCTGAATTTACTCTGGAACTCATAGAGTTCAATATAGTCATATAGCATCAAGCTATATTTAAAATGTCATATTCAAAGCGAACAAATTATATATGTAATGCGTTTCGTGAATATTATGAATAAAATTCATATTGTATAATATCATACACAGACAAGTTCTTCCTTCCTCGTAATGAAACTACATACAACGACCATTTCGTATATTCAATATGAGCTAGACGAGCAAATTCATACCTTACAGATATGCCCTTAAGACTTTGTTTTATCGGACACACACTTGTAGATAGTTGAACCCAATTGTCAAAAACAATCTCGTTACATTCCTAAGCGACCCTGTGTCCAATAGCTAACACATTTCAGGGGAATGCTATAAAATTTCCCAAAAAGGTAGAAATAATAGTCATTACGTGATTGAATTTCTCTCGTTTTATTCAAAAGGTCGTAATTATTGAAACTGAGTTACGAATGATTAAAAAAATGGTTTGTGAAATGTAAATTGATGCTGTAATAAATATTTCAAAGAGAGTACATCCGCACACATCTATAATGCAATGCATACTTCGAATGCAGCATAATTTTTCGAATCATAACTATTTTTCACAACATTTAAGCAACGGTATTATAAAAGTTTTTTTTATTGTTTTGACGGGTGGACGAGCTCACAGCCCACCTGGTGTTAAGTGGTTACTGGAGCCCATAGACGTCTACAACGTAAATGCGCCACCCACCTTGAGATATAAGTTCTAAGGTCTCAGTATAGTTACAACGGCTGCCCCACCCTTCAAACCGAAACGCATTACTCCTTTATGGCAGAAATAGGTGTGGTGGTGGTACCTACCCGTGCGGACTCACAAGAGGTCCTACCACCAGTAAACCAATGTGCGCTGAGATTCTCGCCGGATTCATTCGCAAAGCAGCTTGCTCTTGAGCCGTTAGGTCTCCCTTGGAGGCGCCGGGTTAGGTGTTAGGTAATCCCACCCCTCCTGGCTGAGCTTTTGCTCGCTCATCCGTCCTGGTGAAACTGGAAAGGTCTCCGGGCCACTAGTAATCCTTCAAGAAATGATATCTATACTAATATATAAATCTACAGTGGTTTTTACGGATGTTCCGTTATAACTACTGAACCATGCAACCGATTGACTTGAAACTTGGTATTCATGTAGAAAATACATGTACTTAATGGATAGGCTAATATTTTTATGAGTGTTGGACTCCCTACACCAGTTGCAGGGGCTTTAATGATGAGAATCTTTGTGCGAGGTGAGAAATAATAATGTTAATTTTAAATGCCCAGCGAAGCGGACGGGTACAGCTAGTTAATAATAAAATCGGTTACCTTATTGACTGCATCGATATCAGCCCCCTTGTCCAGGAGTAGTTCTACGACAGCCGCGTGTCCAGCTCTTGCAGCTTGTGCGAGGGGGGCGTCTCCAGCGACGTCTGCGGTCTGCACGCGCGCTCCGAGGGACAGGGCGTATTCCGCCACATCGCGGGCGCCACGGGCACACGCACATTGCAGGAGATCATTATGCTTCTGGGTACAGAAGAAGAACGAAGAAGAAGAGAACAGAGAAATACCGCGCTGTGACGGATACCTTACCTTGTATTGTCATTTTTGATCACATTAGGAGCTTACTAATAATATATTACTGGTGGTTAATTTTTTACTGGTGGTAGGACCTCTTGTGAGTCCGCACGGGTAGGTACCACCACCCCACCTATTTCTGCCGTGAAGCAGTAATGCGTTTCGGTTTGAAGGGTGGGGCAGCCGTTGTAACTATACTTGAGACCTTAGAACTTATATCTCAAGGAGGGCGGCGGCATTTACGTTGTAGATGTATGGGCTCCAGTAACCACTTAACACCAGGTGGGCTGTGAGCTCGTCCATCCACCTAAGCAATAAATATATATATATATCACGAAATATAGTTAAGATCTGTAAGAGGTAACTATAATATAATACGTGATATTTTGATATTTGAAGACATGAGTGGATGAAGGGGTTAAGTACCATTGTTTACGATTTTTTAGTTTTTACATTGAATGAAGGTATTAGTGCCTATAAACCATATTAGATCTTAAAACTCCGATTTTAAAGGCTATTTTTAGAAACTGCAACTCCTTCATCATAATGAAGGAGTTTTGTACAAAGAAAAAGTACAAGTAACAATAGTTTGTTGCCGTTTTCTCAGAATTAACAAATTGTATCATATCCCTTTCATCCACTCATGTCTTCATTTGATAGATCTATACGACGTTTTTAAGATAAGCTGATAAGCTTGTAAATAAAAAAGTTCAGAACACTAACATTTGGACTGTGATCTATGTAACTACTAGGAGCCTAGAAGAAATATTACTAAGCACATCTATTTTTATAGGAATTGAGTGTGGTATTCTTCTGACCTCAAAGCATGATCGCTACCGTGTTAGATCTAGTCTAATTTGACTCTAAGATCGATTTTCGGTTAAAAAAAATTATTGCTCTTGTAGGCAGACGAGTGCCTTATGATGACAGGCTACTGTTGCCCATGGACGTCAGCAATGCAAGGGGCAGAGCCAAGCCGCCGCCTATCGTTTCATAAATCTATCAAGTCAAGTCAAAAATCCATGGAAACAACTGGAAGATTGTGAGGAAATAAGCTTAGAACTGTGTTATTAAGAAGCCTTTGAGAAAATCGAGTCTATTTTAATACGGAATTTCTGGAATAAAGTTTAATTAAAATTCCAGTTAACGATATTTCCGAAAATCCAAGCAAAGGTTAATTTAACGAATTCACACGGTGATTAGGAAGACAGTAATAAGACTCCTCTCCCGTTTGAATTCTATGTGAATATTTCATCTCTTACCTTCGAGGAAGGCGTTTGTTTGTAAAGGGCATACGTAATTTTGTTTATTTGTTCTCAAACATAATGGAAGCTAAGTTTATTTACTGTTTTACATACTTATACATAATTTTGTTTATTAATTAGCAAATATAATTTTTGTTTTGTTAATTTGAATTTAAAATGCACGCGGTCTGTTTTGGGTTCATGGTACTAGGATAACATACTTTGTTAGTAGCTGCGAGACAGGCGCCTGCCTTGACTAGAGATTTCACGGCGTCTAGATGGCCATGCCAAGCCGCCATCAGCAACGGGCGCATCCCGAACTGAAGAACAAACAAGTATCGTTACCTCCATCCGTTTATGTCGCCCTGGTACTTTTTTTTAGTTTAGAAGTTTTTTTTTTATAACAAATAACAAAGTAAATTTCAGAGAGTAAACAAGGAAAATCAGCAACAACAGAAAGCTTTCGGAAGGTAATTACGGTGTAAAATCTTGTTTGTTACCTTATCAGCAGCTTCTATATCGCACTTGGCTTCGATAAGTAAGTTGATTATTTCAACGTTCCCACGGCTGGCGGCCCAGTGTATTGGCGCCCTCCCGTACTATCAACAGACAAGTATAAACAATTTTCATTTAATGACGAAATAACTTCATTTACATTTTAATTTATTTAGTCAAAGAATTGCACAATCTCTTAGATTTGTGAGTTATTTTCAATTTCATTTTAACTATATTTTGAGCAAATTAAGGTTATCTGCTTAAATATTTACGCAATAGTTTTTTGTAGAACAACTTCTGTAAAATATTGTCTAATTAATCATTTAATCGGTTTTTTTATTGCCATTGTAGGCAGATGAGCATACGGCACATGATGNTTTATTTAGTCAAAGAATTGCACAATCTCTTAGATTTGTGAGTTATTTTCAATTTCATTTTAACTATATTTTGAGCAAATTAAGGTTATCTGCTTAAATATTTACGCAATAGTTTTTTGTAGAACAACTTCTGTAAAATATTGTCTAATTAATCATTTAATCGGTTTTTTTATTGCCATTGTAGGCAGATGAGCATACGGCACATGATGGTGAGTGGTTATCGTTGCTAATGGACATATGCAATGCCAGGGGATAGTCAAGTCTCCACTAGTCTAGTTTGAAGAGCCTGTCGCAGCGCTCGGAAAACACCGTGGAGAAGAGTTCAATCTAAAGCAGACAGAAAGACCTCTGGAAACGCACTGCGGATGAACGCAGTGGATCTGGGCAGTATAAATGAACTTAACTCCAGCTAATCCATCGAATGTGTCATAAATCAAAACACAAGGCGATTTTTTTTTTATTGCTTAGGTTGGTGGACGAGCTCACGGCCCATCTGATGTTAAGTGGTTTCCGGAGCCCATAAACATCTACAAAGTAAATGCCGCCACCTACCTTGAAACATGAGTTCTAAAGTCTCAGGTTTTTATAGTACAACGGGTGCCACACCCTTCAAGCCGAAACGCATTACTGCTTCACAGCAGAAATAGGCAGGGTGGTGGTACCTATCCGTGTGGACTCACAATACGTCAAACCACCAGTAAATTAAGAAATGAATACAGGTAGAACTGTAGGAGATATCTAGTGCATTATGTATCCAAACATAAACCGTATTGTATGCTCATATGGATAGTTTTACCATTACATTGCCTATTTCTACTGCGGTGATTTGCTCTTTGCAATCTAGATTCGCGAACTCAATCACGCATAAGAAATAAAAAACAGGAAACGTGAAACATTGTAAGCTTCTATAAGCCGCATCGTTTCATTCTCATTTGAGGCTCGTCACTCCTATATCCTTTTGAGACCCGCATTACTAGCATTGGAAACGAAATTAAGATACAGATCCTAAAGCCGAAAGGGGAAAATCTCTACACTAATATGAAGGGATAACATAATTATATTAACCAAAACATGAATGGTTGTTGATTTAGTAAGTACTAGTCAAACCCAGCTCGCTTTGTTGGTCGAATTGATTTGACTTTAGTCCGATCGCTTCACAGAACCACCCGCTAGAATATATTTCGAAAATTTCGCCGAAAACGGTCCAGTCATTTCAGAGCCTATAGGGAATATACATCGAAAAATTACCTATATCGTTTCCATAGAGCGAAAATTAACTAAGTAGAGTTATGTACTAATCAACGTTTCGATCTCATAATTTCTCTCTCACTCATATTTCTGTAGCTATCATAGTATTTGTTACGCGCTGGGGTTCGGGATAAATAAAATTCTACCGAATTACAAGTTAACACTGTATTCAACACTTAGAACACATAAAACACTTTAAAATTCTCAATTCGCTTCATCCGCTTCGCTTCAGGTGATCCGTTCGCTGTTTCGCTTCGAGTAGTTCCGATTACTAACTGCCTGCGTTCCACCTCTGCCATCGATAGATACTTCGACATTCGTTCGACTATTCAGCGATAGATAGCGTCACTCTTATCGACGTAACAAGTTTTTGATTTACAAAAATACATTAAGTTATGATTATAGACAATAACAATATGAATGTATATTTGTGAGTTTGTTAAATAACTTAACGAAATTAGGTAACTAATAATTTTATTTGCGAGTATATATATCGCCGCGATACCAGTTCATTCAGACATAACTAATTATTACTATTGATTAATAGTTTTAATTCTTATTGTGATTTACCCGGATCTTACACTTAATTAGGATTATAATTTAAAACATGTTTTTTCAACATTGGCTACTGAATTTATTTAAAAATTTGTAATCCTACCGTCATTTGATTAATCTGTGGTAAAGTGCTTTTGTTAGTCGACATTTGCCGTCGGTGTGGCGAACAAACATTTTACAAGGCGTAACTCGAGCACGGAGCTATTTTAGCCACCGATTTTCGGCGAAATAAATATAAGTAAGTTGCTGTACCCGTCCGCTTCGCTAGGCGTTTAAAATTAACATTATTGTTTCTCACCCCCACAAAAATTCTCATCATTAACGCCCCCGCAACTGGTGTAGAAAGTCCAACACTCATATAAACATTAGCCTATCCATTAAGTACATTTATTTTCTACGTGAATGCCAAGTTTCAAGTCAATCGGATGCACGGTTCAGTAGTTATAACGGAACATCCGTAAAAACCACTGTAGATTTATATATTAGTATAGAGTATAGATATAGAAATGTTGTTTGTTTAAAAATTAAAAAGTGATTACTGTTCTGTTTTATTGTTTTTATTTTGCCAAGTTTCTCAGTTTAAAAATGAATACACTCTTAGAGTTCGTTTTGTGGTAAAATTGATGACATTGTAAGACGTGTAAGCTACAGCTGCATCGAAGACCAGAATAAGGTCAACAACGGGTTTGTGTAATTTTTTAAATCATTGACCTGACTTCATTTTACACATATTCATACATGTTGCCCGCCTCCCGGCCCCCGCGTCTTACGAGAGCGCTGACCTCGTGACAATTGTTTGTTTTACATTGCGCTGTCGATTCTAAGAGGACGATTAAAATATTTTTCATTCATTCTTTTACCGGCATAGCAATTAAATTGGTCAAATAAAGAAGAAATAACAGAAGAAAACTCCTTTATATGAACAAAGGCCTATAAACAAAGGCTTTTGCAAAATTAATTTACCTTCCCGTGTAAATATGCAGTTTGTTGGTAAACTAGGCGCGCTATTGTGAAATTAAGTTTGGTTTATAAACTGCTAAACGTGGTACAATATTAAACGTTACGGTTACGGACAGAACTAGTTTGTAGTTTCCAGTGTGTACAGAAGCGGAGTGTACAACCATGCGTGCTAGCATTGTAGACCGCATTTAGGAGAAAACAATTTTGAGTTTTCTTCAGTCAATGAGCCTTTGTAATCAATTAGGTTCATCAAAAGTCTATTATGGAACAATACGTGCAGACGCCTACTGCTGCGTCAAATATTATTTATTTGAAATTTTTTATTGCAACCTAATGAAAATTTTATCTACCTATAGATATCAGAAGAGCGCGGCTCGCACCTATAGCTGCTATTATTGTGATTTTCGGAGTTAATATCAGAGTTTACATGTCGTGGAAGAAGACCGCTGAATTCACGTAAAGCTTTTAACTCTGTTCAATTGGCAAATCTAATTCCCATTTGTTAACAAAAAAAATTCCATTTTATAAATCAGTGTGCTTAGTGCGAGTTTTTTAACGTTCTCGATAGCGTAAAAGTTAACTCAAACATGAGTTGGAAAGTTTGCCTATGTTTGCCGCTAGGAGCGCTGTTCCAACTGCATACAAATTTGGGTTAACTTTTACGCTATCGAGAACGTTAAAAAACTCTCACTAAGCACACCGGACTCACGTTGTTCCTACAGTTGACGTCCGTCGGTCTCTTCAGCGCTTCTCTCACAGCCGTCGGCTCATTCTTGATCACGGCCTCGTGAAGAAGCAAATCGTTTTGTTGCACACGGGTTCTGGTTTCCGAAGACATCTGGAAGACAAGAGAGACAGATAATAAGGACTTATGTCGGACACTCAATTATTCAAATAGTCCAAAGTACAAATTTCAGCGTATTCTGAACTTTTTTATACTGTTAAGAAATGAAATCCTAATCATTAATTTTAAGTAATTAATCTCTTTATTTTCATAAATTTAAAGGTAACATAATAATTAGATAGGCGAAAATATATAGTGATTCATAGAAATAATAATAATAATAATGTTTTTATTTCAAGTAACCATGACTCATATAAATTGTTAATAAGACTTAGACCTATGTTAGTAGTTATATTTACATCACAATGAATTACTGTGGTAACATCCCATGGGAGATGGCACCACAGCGACCCATGTATATACAGTCCAGCCTGCTTGCGATCATGCTCAGGATACTGTTGGAGCTGGCCCTCANATAATAATAATAATGTTTTTATTTCAAGTAACCATGACTCATATAAATTGTTAATAAGACTTAGACCTATGTTAGTAGTTATATTTACATCACAATGAATTACTGTGGTAACATCCCATGGGAGATGGCACCACAGCGACCCATGTATATACAGTCCAGCCTGCTTGCGATCATGCTCAGGATACTGTTGGAGCTGGCCCCCACTCTGTTTACCAGAGATGCACACCTCTTACGCATGGTAGCGTAAAAACAATCTATGTGCGCGTCTGCAAACATCCCTGATGCGCTACAAAAGCGGGGCAACACCACCAGCACCCTAAACGCGTTATTGTATTGAACACGGAGAGCATTGTACGATCTTTGAGTATATCCAGCCCACAAGCTGCACGTGAAATAAGTGAACTAGTAATGAAATTAATAAAACAAAGGCTAGACTAGACAACGGTGTTTTTAATTGGAAATTTGCTCCTAGCCGCTCCGGGATATCGACTAAATTGGAATGTACAGAAACATACGAGTTGTATAGAGGTTGGAATGTTTTGCAATTAGTTCTACAATTGACTGCGACCGTGCGGCAGCTCGAGTTAATAACTGTTTCTGCTGCGAGAAAAATAAATAAGCTTGAAATCCTACTCGATATTTATACTGAGGAAGGATATTATTTGTAATTTTGGAGGTTCAGAACGTCAATTGTACGTAGGGCAGTTTCTGGTAAAACTATATTAAGCACTTTTAGTACTGCTTTTTCTATCCTACCTATTCGCTGGTAGCCTAAGAGGCTATTCCAGCTACGCTGGGACGGGTAGGTGAGCTCACGGACTTAACCTGAGAGAATTTGCTAACACTAAGTATTCCTAGCAAGAGTGTCTAACAAGAGTCGCAGAATCTAGCATCGGATCGGAATCGCGACCCACTGAGAAGATCCGGCGAGAAACTCAGTGGGCTGTGTCTATGGGTTAGTACGCTAGTCGAACATTCGAAGAGTTCGATGAGGACGGTGACCGGTGCTTAAGAGGCCTAAAAGCACCGATAGTGAATCCGGGGATCCGACCAGACATATTTCGGGCGACGGCGGCCTTGCACTGCAGTATTGCTTCACAAAATTCCCGGTATCTACCTTGCAATATAATAAGAATAGGACATTTTAACAAAACAGAAAACCGACTTCGATAAAATAAAATGAGAATTCCATATTATGTAGTCGAAGCTAATTATGTAACTAGGATAACTAATGGTGAGATTATGATAAAATTGAAATTGAACCTCATGAGAAGCTTCACTTTTCAAATAAAAAATAATCATCAAAATGATTTCACTTAAAAAAAAGGTGAATTGATAATTGACCGCGGGGACCCCCGTACTCGGGTTCGTCAGCGGACCGACAAAACCCACATATCCCGCGCACCCTAATAAAAAAAAAACAAAAAAAAGCTTTTCAGACTCATAATGACCTGTGGTTACAAATTATATTGAGCCAATTCAAATTAAATGAATTTACGTCTTGTATTTCACATAGACCTGGATCAAAAAAGGAAGCGAGCCACCAGCAGTAGATGGATTTGAACAGTTTTAAGACCTTCTGCTCTACTCTATTCAATCATATAGTCGTTATGGACAATTTACATAACATATTTTTGCTAAGATTTTTTAATGGTGGTAGGACATCTTGTGAGTCGGCACAGGTAGGTACCACCACCCTGCCTATTTCTGCCGTGAAGCAGTAATGCGTTTCGGTTTAAAGGGTGGGGCAGCCGTTGTAACTAAACTTGACACCTTAGAACTTATATCTCAATGTGGGTGGTGCATTTACATTGTCGATATCTATGGGCTTTGTTGAGTCTGTGCTTATATAGAGCGTGTGTGATATTATGTAGGGTGATAATTATTAATAAGACACGACAGTTTGCAACCTGTTTATTGTGCGACGACTCGACACAGACTGTCTAAGCTAAGCCCGCTACAGGCTTCAGTAACAACTTAACACCAGGTAGGATGTGAACTCGTCCACCCATCTGAACGATAAAAAATATATATTGAAAGGCTGTATATTCTTAGCCCGGTTGCTTACACTATATTTCTCAATATATATCTATCATTAAGCTTTGCTAATATTACGATCCTCCGTAGCGTGTATCGTTTCGAACGTGTGTCCTATTTTCTTCGCTTCACTAATCTTTTATTCATACGTTGCGCGTGTGAACTTTACCTTTTTAACCGACTAACTCAGAAAGAGAGTAATGCGCTTCGAGCATGCATTTGCGATTATTTCTTCGCGACTACAGTAAATAAAATATGTCGCGGATTTTCGAATTTGACGTGTTGTTTGTTAGCCCTTAATGTTCAGAATATTTGTAATAGATGAGGTCAACTCGAGAATCTGCATTTTCTTACATTGTCATTTAATGTCTATCAGCTATATATCCGGAAGCTAGTAAAATCAATTACAATATTCCACCTGAACAGATAATAAAGAATTAAGAGAGTCATTAAAAATATGTTAAAAGAAATGTGAACATATATAATCCACTTTTACGGTTTTCTAATACAAACAGTGAATTAAAAACCACCCTAAATTTAATAAAGTAGATGGTTGGCTCTTTCCTAACGCTTGGGATCTTCTTATCGTGAAGATGAAAACCCAAATCAAGCAAACAGCCAAACTTCAAGGTACTCTTTCCGTTCTGTGTGAAACGAAACATAAAAATTTAGCGATATTTTTTATAGAAAAGTAGATGGTAGTTAGAACAATATTCAAATGTCGACGAATAACACTTTAGTCGTCCGTAGGTAGACCACGACCATCCTGCAGTATTCGAAACAGTGGAAATAATATCTTCTTCTTTTTCTCCAATTTATCTTTCTATCTCATTCTCTTCTATCAGAAAATTATTAACGGTGGAAATAATATAACGATAATAAAAAAACTCAAGATCAAACCATAAAATACTATTAATGTTGTCTAAGAAAACCGATCAAAAGATTGTATTTTTTTAAATTAAAATGCAAAGTTATTTTGTATCTAAAGTTAATTTGTAATCAGAAAGCCGGTGAAACGCAAATTTTCAACAACAAAAAGAAGTACTTGCGTCTTTATTAGTAAAAGATAACATGAAAATTTAAATAAAGAAAATTAAATGGTACACGAAATTGTCTAAAATGTTAATGTTATGTTAAGCGCTCCGGGTTCATTGGCCTCAAGCTAAGGTTTTCCCTAATGTTATGTGTGTAGATAATACACGTGAACAACTACACGCTTACAGATATCTAAAGAAGACATACATACATGTAAAGAAAAACCTTCATAGTAAGACTCTTTAGTTTTATAAAAAGGATTTTTCTTATAATATGTCAGTAAATATTATATTCAGTAAAAAGAAAGTTCAATTTGTTTAAAAATATTAATTTGATTAGATTAAGGGCTTTAAATGTTGTTTTCTCATCATACACGTAACAGAACACGCAATTAAGTCTTTTAATGTTTATTTATTCTGGAGTACCCAATATCACTATATACATAATAATATATGTACCAACAATTGACTTCGGACTGGACGTTACAATTGTATCACCAAAGCATTGCCATCCTTTAAATCGCATCCCTGAAGCACTTAGTCACTCATCATTCATTTATATTCACAATGTAAAGTTGAAAATATATGAAATTAAATTGATATTCTATCATAGAAATTAATTTCAAATCCAAGTTCACAATCCGTGAAAATAGGTTATGTTTTTACAAAATTTCCCGCTAAAATTAATGTATGTTTTAGTTATTTTTCTTCGAAAGAGATAGCAAAGGTAGATATGATTACATTATGCCATGGTTAAATTCTAAATAGTTCCTTTTTAATATTATTCTCTAGACTGTTTTATATTCATGTAACGTTGATATATTTAAAAACAAGTACACATTTCCACATATTATGGAATTGTTTACTTTGGTCTGAAACTATAAAGCGCACATACTACAGAAAAATTTTATTTTTATTTTTTTTATTCTAATATTTAACAGAATTGCGTTTAATCAATTGTTGCCGTTGGAGATATTCTAAGTTGTCAGCCCTGTCAGTGTTCTAATCTGCCTATTGTCGGAAACAGGGGAGACCCGAGTCCGTCGATGTTATTGTTCCATTATTCATTGTTCTGTATCTATTGTACGGGATAATTATTAAGATTTCCCCAACAAGCTATGAACTCTTGGTAATTTCATCGACATTTGTGTTCATATTAAAGATGGAGTTGATAACGGTTCATGACGTGTTTTTACTGGAAAACCGTCTTTTGTTTTGCTGGATTTATTTAGTTTGAAGTCTGTTGTTTTGGAATAACCCTTAACTGGAACTCTAGAATAATAGGTTTTTTAACAAACAAACAGATCCCTGACGGTAAAATAATTTGAAAGAGAACTGAGGCTGAAGAAAGCATTTTAATTACTAGGAAAGCAGAACAAAAAAGATATTTGAAATGTACAAGCTGTCCGATACTGTTCGGGTTGTCTGATACCAGGGCTAAATGATATTGTAGGAGTATTCATTAACATGTTTTTGCGTGAAAATGGAATTTGATTAAAATTTAAGTA